AAGAAAACAAATTAGAGCCGAACAAATGTCCAACAGAGATAAATAAGCAGAGCAAAACAGTTTGACATTAATATACTCAGCAACAAGTCCAAATACAACACTGTTCCTGCTTTTTGCAACACTGTTCATACATTTCTCCGCAGTACAAAAATGCTTTTGACAAGGCATTTCAAGGACAGGCCATTCCTCCATACACACATAACTATTAATGGCAATGCTACAGAAAAAAAGCCCTCTGGACTGAAGTGGAGAAAAAATGTCTGATTCTTGTCACATTCCATCAGACAAAGAAGTCAGATTTGCTTGGGAGTGAAGTCAAGCTTCAACAACATAGAGGTTTCTGGAGTGCCGTGCAAAAGATGGGAGCAACAGAGAGGGTTACAGCTTTATCTACATTTCCTTTCCTGCGATAGTAGGAGAAGAGAAAAGGCAGATAAATGTTTCAAAAGAGGATAACCATCAATAATACCAGCGAGAGGAAACAGGATTTAGGTGGAGGGGGGAGAAGAATGAGAAAAGGTTGTTTACATTGGAATCCACAGTTGGTGCTGTGTGTGTGTGTGTGTGTGTGTGTGTGTGTGTGTGTGTGTGTGTGTGTGTGTGTGTGTGTGTGTGTGTGTGTGTGTGTGTGTGTGTGTTCAAAAGGCCCTTTAAATATACACTACTACATTTTTAAGGGTCATAAGAAGAAAGAAAACTCCACTGAACCATTATGTAAATTTCAAAAACTGTCAGCTTTGCATGGCCTGGATATGCACGGAATATTCAGTAGCGCTGTGTCTCAATTCCTACACTTCCCTTAGCACACTGAATGTGTGTGAAGCTTAGTGTTTTTTTCAAATCTCACACTGTGGCTGTGCCCTCAAGGGAAGTGACATTGCCGTTATTAGCTAGCTAGCTAGCAACGATTCGAGGTAGCCAATCATACCCAATAAATAGCACCCTCGTATAAGTGGAAGTCAAAATGTATATAATGTGTTTGTATTTAGAAGCCTGACATAAGGTCTGTGGTTAAAGCAAGTCGAGGAGATTATCACGTTTTTTTCTCTAAAATAAAAACACGTCAGAAAATACCACACTCGTGAATCTCTGAAAGCTTCTATGTGAGACTACTACAAAGAGACTACAAAACGCCTTGTCTCACCCCGACATGAGACAACCTTTAGCTTTGCAGGGGTGATGCGCAGCCATGCAACCGTGATGTAGATTGTTTATAGCCTAGCGTTAGCATTTGACTTCTGGCAATTGCATTTACGCTTGAAAAATCACAAATTGGTGATAATATGTTATCCTGCTGAACAAAACTTGTTTAGTATCATGAACGTTTGTTGGCCACAAAGCTTATTCTCTGCAATATACCGAAATTCAATGGGAAAATCTAGTTGTTTTTTTTCGAAAGAGCTCTTGCGATGCTAACCTATGGGTCAGAATGCTAAAAATATGTCATCACTGCACCACTATAGTGGTACATTTATTAAATTATGAAAAAACAAACTCATATATTGTTCATTTGTATAGTGCTGTGTTCCCAGGAGCAACTGCAATCATGCTATTTCCGTTATGTAGCCAATGATAGTGATCCTTGTCTGTAAGTGTCCAGCATTCCAACGAAGTACTGCAAGTGCTAAAACAAACAGTTATGGTGGCCAAATAGGGGTACTACAGTTTGGTCTACATGATGCTATTGGGCCCAAAAAGGCGCTAATACTTAAAGGGGACCTATCATGCAAAATGCACTTTTTGATGTCTTTTATACGTAAATATGTGTCCCCGGTGTGTCGGGGAACTCAAGCAGCGTCAGAAAATAAAACCCTTTCTCTTTTCCTCCGTACCCACATCTTAAGAATGGAGGTACAACGAGCGGATACAGATTTGCTGCCGATATGACGTCAAGTCGGCAGCGGACCCACAGGAAGTTGCTATCAGAAACAATGCCTGACATGTTTTGGACGTAATCTCGTCTTTGTTTACATTAGCAAGCCTCGCTAACACTCAGAGCTAAACTGTGCCGTAGAGCACATGTGTTTAAAAAGCAGGAAATTAAAAAAAGGAACTCACCTTGTGCTAAACCTTCAAGAGAAAAAGCATTTGAGCTCCATACTGTTTCAGAGATAATCCTTGATGTGGTTTAGAACAGGATGGCGTTTTATCACAGCAGAATTTAAATGTATCTCCGGTAGAATTCTGATCAGGCATTAGTTCCTCCTCCTCTTTTTTTATTTCAAGCTAAGGACCCAAAATCCACGTTTCTCTAACAGGGCTGCAAAAGAGAGGTATGAGCAGTATGAGGCATGGCTACAATGGGTGATCTGTTTGGTATTTTAAGCAAAAAACTTCACAGACATGTTTTGTATAGGTGTGGCCCGGCAATATATTTTTCCAATATAACATAATAGGTCCACTTTAAGATAAAGTCAATGAACATTAACAAGATGAACATGAACACAACGCATCTTTTAAAACATTTTAAACAATATTATTATATTTATTATGTCATGATTGTTGAAGTTCAATTGTTTAATGCTTGTTTAATAATGTCTTTAATTGCTATTTCTTGCTTTGCCGTGTTTTTTTCCTCTTCTTAAATCTCCACCAGTATCTCCTCTGCTACTCACATCTCTGAAGCTGTGATGTATAATTGACTTGTCAGCTTTTGTTTATGGTCATTTAGGCTGCCATGGGAGTAACAAGAGGAAGTAACCCTCCCAATCCCCTCACAGTTCTTGGACAGAGGAGGTTATGATGAGCTCCGCTGGCTGGAGGACATTTCTTTGAGGGTTTTTGGTATGCTGCTGATAATAACACTGAGGATAATGAGTATCAACGCAATTCATTGGTTAAATTCAATAAATGAACTAGCTATTAAATAACAGGGTTCAACACCAGTAGTAGCAAAGGTAAAAACAATATAGTTTATCTTGATTGCTATAAAATCAGTTAATGTATTGTTATTTGTTTTAATCTTATTCATTAAAATTTGCTTTTTTTTTTTAATTCAAGCCAATATTTTAAGTTTTTTTTATTTACTGTTATTTTTTTGTCTTTTCAATTTATAATTAATAGGAAACACGTCTAAAATGTACTCATATTGTGTAAACATATTTCTTTATTATGTAATTTGTTTACAGTTTTTAAAGCAATTTTTTTATAACCTTCTGATGTTTTGTCTTATCTAATCTAAATGTTATAGCTGATTGTTGCACATTTTTATAAATAAATAAAAAAGCATGGAATTTATTTTGGCTGATTCTGATTTTTCCATGTAGCTCATATATTTAATTTGACCGTTTTAGTCTTTTATTCATGGACAAGACTATAAATTACCCGGTTTGAAGTCATTCTCCATCACTCTACATGTCTAGGCCTCCATGCAACAATAATGCATGGTTATCGTTGACAAAACCGTAATAAAAGGCGAAAAAGGATTAAAAAAAGACAGCACAAATCCATAGTTGAATCAGATACAAGCACAAAGAAGGTCAAATGAACACCCTAATCACCCAATATGCAAATGAGCTCAGGTGTGCATTTTAAATATGAACCCAGCTACTGCAAAAATAATTTCTTACCTGTTTTTCCAGCATGATCATTCTCTCAGTATCATGACCTTCATGGAGTGTTTGTCCATGCGAGTTCACCGTTCAGACCTTTTCTGTCGGCATCTTGTTCTTCACGGATAAGGGAGAAAAATGTATAAATAATAATAATACAAAATAATAGTTTTGATGCTAACTAGCTTTGACGCTGAGGAGACTAGTAAACAGCTAGTGTGCTGTATCCTTGATAGAAAATGTCTTCACTGGCTCCAGCATGTCTCGACATCCATATCAAAAGAAATTAAGGGGTGTTTATTCATGGAGGAAAAACACCACATCGGTAAGTGAATGGGGAGGGGGGGGAAACAACCAAGGGCTAGTTAGCTGTGGGCTAGCTAATGTTAGCGTGCTAGCCAGCTAAACCTCAGCGATTATCATTTTTTTATTTGTCTCCTCCTGCTGCCTTCATCCATCGGCGCTCCTCTGCCTGCCTCCACTCAAAAACACAACCGAGAAGTCTCGTCTATCACCGGCTCTCACGACTAAATCCGCGCCCCGTTGCTCGACGACGACATCCCAGTGAGGAGTGGTCAGTCCCGGGGAAGATGTGACTGATTTGACCACTGTAACACGGATGCTTAAATGGATGCTGCAGCTGAGAAGGAATCTCCGCTTTCACTGAAAGACAAGCCGTTGCTGCTGTGCTGCGGTCGGGGAGAGAAGAAGAGCATCTCAGAAGAACGACGCTCCTGAACGCACCATCTCTAGCGACCTATTAAGAGCGACTGGCGAAACAGACACTCCTGAACACACCTCAATTCTTTTTCACCTTTAGATTCTAAAAAATATAGAATTTAAATATTTAAGTACAGTAATACAACATTTGAATATCAAACTAACAAAACCAAAATACATATAACTACTATATGATAAAGACAAATGCATACTTTAGCTAAAGAAGCATTACGAATGTTTAACAATGAAACATACATACTGTGAATTTCCAAAAAAGAAATGAGTAAAATACAAATAAAATATTTACACTTTCAATTCAGTTTTATATTTTATTTTTCAAACATATAAAGACAAATTCATAATTTGCCCATAAATAACAATAGACCTTCGAAACTAGTAGTTCTGACACGAATGTCCCTACAGGGAATAATATAGGTTTATTCATCTCATATTATCCTAAAGTTGCATCTTGATGTCGGAAATGATTTTAATGGCTTTGATTTTACTTTGCGACTAGTTTTATTTGATAGTATTTTGTAACTTGTATTGATAATCAGAATATTATTAATAATCTGAATATCCTATGTTTTAAAAAAGAAAATCAGTGATTTATGTTTGTGTCATTTTTGCCTGCATTTTATTTGTTTGACTTTTGGTGATAAATCATAACTATCCGTCTTGTCCGTCTTGTCTCAGATTTTCCATACAGCCTGACAGTCTCAGTTGAGGGCAACACAATCTAGATTTCTTCTTCCTCGTGGTGCACTCTGGGATTTTATGTAAACCAACATGGCAGCCGCCTGTAGCAGGACCCTCTGTAAGGTCGGTTGGAGTATTTTGGAGTCTCAACCAGCACGCCGGCCCGGTATCGTCTCCTCCTACCTGTTGGGGAATGTAAGCACACTTGTGTCCAGGAGGGCATTCGGTACCGGCGGGACCGGGTACCGCTCCAAGCTGCTATCCCCTCTGCAGACAGGGAGAGCTGGAGGCGGCGGCAGGGTGCTGGGCTGTGCCGTGCTGGTCGGTGCCGGGCTGGGTTTATACCACACTGTGAAGTTCAGGTTGCAGCAGCACCTGGCCGAGGAGGAGACCAAAGTGAGTCCCCGTCACCTGAGCCTCTAACGCGGTCACACTGTCAGTAAGAGTCCCCCTGATCTCTGGAGGCTGTTTTTTCATTGTTACCTAACTTAATGTCATCAGACAGGGTCACAGCCGGAACTAAGTTCATCTACATTGTATACTTGATTATTTCAATTTAATACTACAATAACCATCTAACGTTACCTCTCGGAGTGAAATGTGACTCTTTATTGTTTTGACATTCATTTGACAGCTTTTCTAGTAACCAGTGCAGTGCTAGAATGTTGAGGTACTTTACCTGAGTACTTCAATTCAATTCCACCTAATACTACATTTAGTTGTATTCCAACACAACTAAAGGTGAAGTATAGTAACAGTAATATATACCATTTAAATTTTTTTAAATAATATTGTATAACATCTTAACATATATTAGTATAGCTTAGTGCAGTATAATGTATTGTGAAGAATGCATCAATAAATACAAATCCAGTATTAATAAATAAATATATATATATATATATATTTTGTATTATTCTACCTCCTCGATTGTTTGTTGTAAATTGCACATTTATTTTACTAATTCATTTTGAATAAAAAAGGGGGTAATTTTAAAGTAAAATTATCTAATCCCAGATGTAATAGATATCCACAATGCTATCTATGTTATCGTGTCCCAAATCTTGGGTAAATCTTTAATATATAGATATATAGACCCATGTTAGTGTGTAAAAATGAGCCTTTGATGGTGGATCCTCTCCTCGCTGCAGGTCTCAGGAGGAGGTCTGAAGTTGATCCTGTACCAGTACAAGACCTGCCCGTTCTGCAGCAAAGTGCGAGCCTTCCTGGACTACCATGGGCTGCCGTACGAGATCGTGGAGGTGAACCCGGTGATGAGGAAGGAGATCAAGTGGTCAGACTACAGAAAAGTTCCCATCCTGATGGTGGACGGCGAAGTGGTAAGACACTAGGAATTATTTTTGTTCCCCTCACCTCAGATATATAAAAACACTTCTTAAAGGTCCCATGTCATGGCCATTTCTACTGATCATAATTCCATTGTTGAGGTATACTAAAATAGATTTATATTGTGCAATTTTCCAAACTCACATTGGTTTCTCATACAGCATCTCTGTATAGTATGTGTATTCACTCTCTCTCCTAAACGGCTTGTTGGAGCTCCTGCCCCCCCCTCCCTGTGAGCCCAGTGGCCGTCTGCGAGACAGCGAAACCCAGTCCGAAACCAGCCCGAACACACACACCCGCAGCCTGGCTGGGAGTTTGTGTGTGTGCTCAGGCTGAGTTCCTTGGTGTCTCGCTGTCTCGCCGACCCCACACCAGTGAGCCAGCTCACACTGTCCCGCTCCTCGCAGCAGCAAGCCACGCAACGTCACACCGAGTGTGCTGGCCTGCTTGCCAGGAAATCCGTGGCATTGGTCCAAACCGTAACGGCTCAGCGGGACGTAACGTAACGGCTCAGCGGGGACGCAACGTCCTGTCATCACTATACCAAGATACGCTCAATTATTACCCAAGAGTAAACAATGCGAAAAGAGAAGGATATCCAACGAGGCGGTTCTGGGCGCCAGCATAGGACAGGTATACTTTCTGTGTTAGCAGTTTTACTCACTACAGGAGTGTACTTTGAGGGCTTTGTGACTACTGCATACCGTTTACATGCCCATAAAAAGCTCTATAAACACAAGGGACGGGTTAACCAGAAAAGCATTTCATGCGGACTTTGTAAGGAGGTGGAATCCATTACACATTGGTATGTTGGAGAGCTGCTATTACACAAAAAGGGAATAGTCAGCTTCCGCTAAGAACAGCATGCCGGTTGTACAGGGTTTCTGTGAGTGTTAAACGGAGTGGAAATGTGGCTAGAAGGTTAATGTCAGTAGCTAACATTAGGCTAAGCA